TAGTAAAAATTTAATATTAGTAAAATAGTAAAAGATCGTCTCATTAACAATGTCAAAAAATAAAAAATATCAAGTACGGCTTGCAAATAAAGGTCAAATAAACTCAAATCTTCATTACGGACCATATGCTCGGGACTGGTGGATTCAAGATTTAAAAGTTTCAAATACTAGCATACTAACTCTTCCTTTTCGTCTTTATATGAACGTAATAACTCAAATAAATGGTTATGAATTTGTTTTATCTATTGTTAATAGGCCCTCAAACCCTCTACAGCCAGGTTTTATATGTTCTATTGGTGAAAAAACTAGTAATATACAAGATACTCCTTCAGCCGCTATCAACATATTTTATAACGAAATGTTTGGAACTCAAACTGAACATTCGGGTTTAGCAGTATTTGGGTTTTATGATGAAAAAATTATATCAGAAATACTTACTGACATTTCTTTTTTTCCATTATATATAAGATTTGATAGGTTTGTTATTGTAGTCTCAAAAATAGGATATTCTTTACAAAAAGATCTTTTATATGCTGGTTCTGGTTATACATCATCTTTAATATCACGTCGTGGGCAAGAGTATTATCTTATTTTACAGCAAATTTTGGACGACCAATATAGTTTGCAGATTTTTAAGGGTAAAAATGAGATACAGCAATTTGTCGGTAAAACGCCAATTGATGTTTGGAAAAAATACGGAATGCATCAAAATAAGGATTATTTTGCACTTTTTGGGTTAAAAGATCCGAAAGTCCAAGAATTGTTAACAAATGGAGTTAAAAAAAATATATCTACAACATGCACATCGCTTTATTGGAACGATGAGTTAGTTTTACAACAGATTTTTGATCTACATATCAAACGTAGAAAAATTGCGATGCCTAATGATAATTGGAAAGTTCTTTTTACGAAATGGGTTAAACAGCAAAGTTTAATAATTCAGATGCCACAAATTTTATATAGTATATACCCACCTGATTTTACGTTTCAACACAAAGAACTAGCTGCTTGGCGTTCTATGTTTAAAGCCTGCGGATGCACAAATATTACGCCATATTCAAAAGAAGTATCGGATATTGAATTCTGGACGTGTGCAGTAGATCCTTGTGCGGACCAACAAACCTTACAAAACCTATATAAATGGGAATTACTTCAAATACAAGATCAAAATTCTCCTTGTAATGTTACAACAAATTGTCAATTTTGGAATAGTTTTCATAATGCACTAGATATTAATAAAAGGGGGGCTAAAGGAAAAATTCAAATACTTTCTATTATTGCACTTAACTTTCATTATCAAGAACTTCAAAGTGAATTAAGTGTAAGATGTCAAATATTTGCTTTACATTAAGAATTTTTATTAATACAATACAATTTATTATTAAAATATAGGTAACATTAAAAACTGTATACAAAGCTAGGAAGCACGCACGTCTCTATGGTGCTGGTGCACCACCAATAGAAATGCCAAAAAAACAAACTAAATTAATGGCCGAATTTAAGGAAAAACAGTTTGAATCGTTTTTTTTGGATAAGGATAACGTTACAATGAGCTCTTACAAGATAGATTCAAAAACTAATTTGCCTATACTTTATCTACGTGATAACAAGACTTCTCTTTGGAAAAAGTTTCAGCAAACTTTTTCAAATGGAATGAAAAAAACCTCTTTCATGGGCCGGCTTGCAAATTGCACACATCTAAAATACCGGGACGATTTAGGCGGCCTTTGTGGAACTTGTAATGAATACGGCTTTGGGTCATTTGAAAGTTTAATCGGAATCGTACGAAACATATATTCTGACAAAGTGGAATTGGTATCAATATATGTCTTTTTTTTTTTTTTTTTATTAAAACGCATTACTTTTTTTATTATTTTAAAGAATGTCTTTTTATAATTACTGGGTTGTTTTTTATTAGCAATTTTTCATTTTATTAACAGTAATCAATTTGAATGTTCACAATATCAGTAAAATTTGATAATAAATGAACATCTTATGTTTATTCTTTACAACCCTATTATTAAAATAAAATAATAAGCTACGAAATTTTGAAATTTAGGATAAGATGAAGTATGAATGCTACTATATTTACTAATCTTCGCCAATTGATGAAGAACCCGTTGCTTTAAAAGTTTCAAGCGCGATGACAGTCCCTTGTTGGTTAAATTCCCTCGAATATCGTCCAATCCAGTTTTGGATGGTGGTAACTTTGGGCACATGGTCCTCATCGATTTCTCCAGAATGTGCGAGCTCCAACAACTCCTCATACATTTCTTTGGCTGTAAGCTTGTCCTGGGGGGTTAGGTTACCATTAAGAAAAAATTGTTTTAGATAGTCAACGACCTTGCCGAATTTTGTGTTTTCTGGAAGTGCCAACCCTTTGGCATCTGAAATTTATTTTCTAAATTTCTAAAGAGACTTGCGTTAGTTAAAATTAAATAAATAAAATGTCAATAGCTCTACGAACATTTCTCCAGAATTATCCATCCCGGCTGATTTTTGATCATAAATGAATGCTTTAAGTTCATTCATTTCAATTCCAATTTCATTGAAATTTTCCATTTCTGCAGGTTTTTGA